TTTATTTTCTTATTTAGGTTGTGATTATTTTCCTTTTTTTTTAGGCTGTGATTTAGTTTCCTTTTTTTCTTTAGGCTAAATTAGTGGGTTAGTTTCCTAGAATAGCTCCTAGATTGATTCTTAGAAGTTGTATATATTTGTACAGATCTTCTCAATGAAATTAGAATAGAAATCTTCAAACATTTGTTTCTGTTTTCAAAAATATCTTCTTAAAAGGCAATTAAAATCTTAAAATCATTATTTTTTTGTGTGAGAATTAAGCATTTAAGACCCTAACATGGACTTGTTTGGGCTTGCCTCAAGGAGTGTGGTACAGGGGTCCAGGTGCTCCGCCAGGTTCAAAAAAAAAGCAAAAAAGCATAAAATTCTAAAAAGGCGCACACTAGGGCTAAGGCACAAGGCACATCAGGCGCACACCTAGGCACACCAGGCATGCGCCTAGGACCTAGGCGAAGTGCATACCCTAAAATGTGCCTCTCGCCTGTGCACCTAGGCACACCTAAGGTGCATCTTTTAAATCACTGGTTTTACATCACATTAGCTACTTGAAGTAATGCAATTGAGGAAAAAAGGAGATTGTGGGTTTTATATGCTTGAAAATGCTTCATATGTTTGACTTTATTTTTAAATTTTCATTTGAATACGATTTACATGTTATGTTTATGTATTTTAATTTTAGATAATAGGTTTTTTAAAACATTTATTTTAAAATTTAAGTTTATATTTTTTTATTAATATTATGTTTAATATTTTTTATTCTTTTGGCTTTTCTTGAATTTTCTGACTTTTTTATTTTTTAGCATTTGTTTTTGTATTTTTACACCTTGCTTCAAAAAGGTGTGCAGCTCGCCTTGTGCCTCAGGCGCAAATTTCCCCTTGCACTTTTTTGCGCCTTGCACTTTTAAAAAACTAGTGTATTGTATTCCTAGAGGCAAATATTTGATTTCTGATTTTTATTTTGATAGTTAATATTAGATTTCTGAATCTACTGAACCTCCTGCTTCTTTTGTGTTATGAAAGTCATTGGCACTATCTAGTCATAGGAGACTGAAATACAGTGTTAAGAGCATAATTATAAATTTATAATTACAAAAAGCGTTATTTATTGAATAAAAAGGAAATGAAATTGGTGTGTAATCTAGTCCTCTATTTTATCTCTAACCATTTTATCTACTTCTCCCCTAGTTCATCCTTCTTCTTCTTCAGTTCATCTCCATCACAATACTTAGGGGTGAGGCGGTGAGCATTCGGTTTATTTGGTTAAAAACTAAACCGAATAAACCGGAATTTTAAAAATCGAATTAGAAAAATGAAAACTGAAACTGAAACCGTATTAGAGGAAAACCGAAATAACCGAAACCGAAATTTTCGGTTCAGTTTACGGTTAAAACCAAATTTCAAATATATATATATATACTATATTATATATTATATATCATAACATAATATATAAATATATATTATGAAATCAAATTTTATTATATTATATATTATATATTACATGCTATATAGCAAAGTTCAGTTAATTCAGTTTTTTCAGTTAACCAAATTTCTAATTCTAAAAACCAAAACCGAAATATTTAAAAACCGAAAAAAAACTGAACCGAATTAACCAAAAACCAAAATAACTGAACCAAAAAAAGAAAAACGAAACTGATATTTTTGGTTCAGTTTGTCAGTTTTAACCGAATAACGCTCACCCCTAACAATACTTGATCTAAGAAGACAACTTATTGTTTGGTTCAACCAGCTATAACTGGCTTATTCTGTCATTCTACATGTCTACTGGATTCGTGTGGGATTTAAAAGGTGTGCCTAGGAGCAAAGGCGAGGCGCATTTTAAGATATGTGCCTTGCCAAGCCCCCAGGCACAGCACTTTCAAAAGACACGCACCTGGTGCACCTTTGCACTTCAGCCTAGGCACACGACTTCTGAAATTTTGTGTCTTTTTTCTTTTTTATGTTTGTTATGCCTGCTCTTAAAACCCCATAATTGCTAATGTTGCTCGTTCATTCATCTTAATAAAAGATGTTTTTAAAAGACAATTAAAGTTACAAAATCTTTTTTATAGGGATTAAGAATTTAAGACCCTGATATGGACTTGTTTGGGCTTACCTTGAGGGGCTTGGCACAAAGGTGGTTCATAGAAATAGGAATGCATAATGTTTGACATCACATTAGCTATTTGAAGTAATGCAATTGGGAAAAGAATAAAGAGATTCAGAATTTTACATGCCTGAATATGTTTTATATGTTAGGCTTGATTTTATTTTTAAATTTTCATTTTAAATATGTTTTGAAATATTTTAATATTTAATATTTTTAATTAATATTAATATGTTTTACAGTTTATATTTTTTAATTAATATGTTTTACACTTTATATTTTTAATAATATTATTTTTACTATTTTTAAATGTTTTGGCATTTTTTGCATTTTTGCACCTTGTTTTGAACAGGTGTGCACCTTGCACCTCAGGCACAAAATACCCCCTGTGCTTTTAAAACACTGGTCTTCTCGACATTAAATGGTGTCAAAGCATATATTCCCTATTTTAATGAACATAAATAACAAAAACAAGACCTGAATTTCAATGCCTCCTTAAATGCAATAAAAGCCTCCTTGCTCTTCTTCTTCATCATATGCCTGAAAAGTTTTAAAAAAATGTATTAAACTGTGGTTGCAGAATCCATATGAGAATCAAAAACTGAATCGTATCTGGAAAGATTAATTTATAAACTTAACAGATATTTAACCATAAAACTGAACTTTGAGAATGCTTCTCGGACAATTCATATGCTTCCTCGGTTTATAAAAAATACAGAAAAAAAAAAGCACATGAAAAGATCCAAGAACAAGTAGTAACAGTGGTTATCAATCGAACAATAAGAAAATACAGAATTTGAAACAAGGTAACTGTTTGATTGATCTCTACACCATTAAGGTGGCCAACCACAAAAAAAAAAAAAAAAAAAAAAGAAGAAGAAATTCAAGTTTCTAACAGAGGATATAGTATTTTACTGAAAAAAAATACATGTTAGTATTCACAGCACCACGTGTAAACCCTTTAAAATCTACCAACACTCAAAAGTTGCATGTGCAACTTCAATTGGACTGTTCAACAACTTAAACTACATTCAATCAAATGTTAGAATCCCATCAAAACCTATATTTTATGAACTTCCCTAACCAAAACTAACTTCAGAAGAAAAATATAAAGGATCTTGTTTGAACCACTACGACACAATTAGCACAAAAAGAAATTAAAAAAAAAAGGAAGAAAACATTACCAGTACAGTATCCTAGCTAGGAAATTTTATTGGGCCTCAGGTAAAAGACTAAACTTTGACTCTTAACAAAATATTTATTTTGACTAGTTACATAAACTAATCTTATACGTAGTTGTCAAAGCACCAAGACAAAGCTAGGTGACAGGGGAATGCCTTATTGCCAGGGCAACATGGATCTTTTGAAATAAAAAAACCTAAATCATAGGGTAATTCCCTAGGTCTCATAGCAGCCAGCATATATCTTTTAGTAATAACTAGCAATAATCTTCATCCAATAAGTATAAACTTTCATATTAAAACATAGAAAATCAACATATTCATTAAAAGAAAAAGAAAAAAGAAAAGAAAACCTAAAAAATAGTGGCTGAGCCCCTGTTTTTGTCACAGAAGGGAAAAGAGAGAGAAGAAGAACAACATCAGCCAGAAAACACATCTTGACTCAAATTTTCAAAAGGCACACGCCTGGCTGAGGCGCAAGGTGCACCAGGCATGCGCCTTTTGAAAGGGCTGTGCCTAGGACCTGGGTGTAGTGCCTACCCTAAAATGCACCTCGCCTGTGCGCCTAGGCACGCCTGAGGTGCACCTTTTAAATCACTGGGCTGCCTCCATTTACTTTTTTGGAAGTTTAACTTGGGGATTTGTATTTATTCTTATAATCATTTTGATCTTCACACAATTATTTTTTCTAATTAGAAACAGCCACTTTGAATGCTTGAAAAATATAGTTTCTTGAGAGAACACTGAAACCATAAAAACAGGAGAATATGTCATATTTTAAGTGGGTTAACTATCACCAATTGTTTTAGTAATGGTATGGAATCTGAGATGTCATAAGTGCAAGAGCATACAAACAAGCAATATTATTCCAAGCTTCTCCATTTTCAGGGTCAAGTTGAACAGCATGAGTAAACCCCTTCACTGCCTTCTCAATATCCCGAGCCTGCATCATCCCAAAAGTAGAAATTTCAAGCATTAGAAGAAACGTATTCCCTTCATAACTCCTAAAGTCCAGAAAAACAGATAACGGTTATTCAAAAAAATAATTTAGAAAAAAAAAAAAAAAAAACTTATAAGGCTGCCTTGAAGGGTAAATGAACTTAAAAGGATAGATTTTGTTTCCAGGTAATAAAATTATAATATACACCAATAACAAGCTAAAACACTATGCAAAAACAGTGAACCAGAGAAAAGTTTAAGGAGATCTTTGGTGGGGAAATATACTTTTCAAGTGTTGTTCCCTAGAATGTTAACTTTGTTTCTTAGCAAACTACCCTATTTCCTCTTATGACAATTATCATTTTTGTTGGAAGCAGTAGCTTGTATTAATGAATTAAATAAATGAGATTACAATATGCCTAGCCTCCCAAGCAAAGGGGTAATGACCCCATTATTTATGTGACTATTATTACAATGCAGTCGAAAACAAATGCACACTCATTTCACTATTATTCTTCAATAGAAATCTCACGGTTCTATTAGAAGAGTTTTGATGGATAAGTAAGCTGATAATGTCATCATTGGTTTGCTTGTGTTTCACCTTAGAAGGTGTTTTTCTCAACCTCAAATAAAAAGATGCTAAGTTTTGGTCTTTCGACTCTAGCAGTTTATCTTATTGTACTTAAGGCTTTGGTTCCCCATATCGATCCCCCTTCGGCATTTTCAGGTAAAAGCAATTGTTTGGGCCAACCCCCTTGAAAATAAGGACTTTGTGTTGTCTTTGCAAAACCAGTTATGAGAACACTATTAACTTGATAACCACCTAAAATGTTGCCATTTCCCTTTGGAAGCAATTCTCTCTTATTTGATGCTATCCAGTTGATGTACAGAAAATCTTTCGAAAGAGGGGCAACAGCGGGAAGATATTATGGAGGTCTACTAGAATTGCAAATTCACAAGCTGAATCTTTGGGTAGGGAAGAGGTCAAAAGGGACGTTCCATACTGCAGCCCTAAACTTAATGGTAGTCGTATTGCTTATGTATGTATCTTAGATGATGATAAGTCAAAATCAAGTTAATCAAACCAGTACTTTAAAAGGTGCACCTAGGCATACAACTCTTCACAGTTTGCATTTTTATTAACTTGTTTATGCATTCTTATGTGTTATACAACTTTGGAATGGACTATTAATTTCCAAACTACCTTTCATTGGCGATGTACTGTCAAGACTGTTGGAACAGACCAACAGAAGGCAGTTAGTCAGTTTTACAAGAGGAGGCCACATCAGCTCAACTAACCAGCCACTTGTAACAACTGCCATCCACTTGTAACAGCTGTAACAGTCAAGATTGTAACACTATAAGTAGTAGAGCAGAAAAGGAAGAGAGGAGGACTCTTTCAGCATTAAACTCTCTCTCTCTCTCTCTCTCTCCTTCCAAGAATTCAGGAGGTTGGCCCCTCGAAGAGCCCTGAGTTAGGCAGGTTCCTAACAATTTGGTATCAGAGCCAGCATGACAAACACAAGAAACACATCAGTAGACACCCGAGTGGATCAGATGGAAGTCGAGATCCATCGAATGTCTTCAAATCTCAAAAAAATGAAGGAAAGTTTCACTGCTCTCCTCCTTCGACTAGAGCAAGGGGCAACGAACATTGACAGAGGAAGCCAAGAAGAGCGCAGCAATGAAAACAGCCGCAGAACAGGGACGGCAACAAGAATAGCCAAAATCGACTTCCCTATCTTCTCAGGCGGCGACCCAACTCCCTGGATTCTCGGAGCAGAAAGGTATTTCGATTACCATGAAACACCGAGGCAAGATAGGGTAGCTCTGGCTTCTGCGCATCTTGAAGGGGAAGCCATCCTCTGGTTTCAATGGTACCGAAGGGGGCACCCTCGTCAAACCTGGGCAGACTTCACGGACGCCATGACTGTCCGTTTTGGATCATCTGGGTTCGAAGATCTTGATGAAAATTTGGCAAAGCTGTGGCAGGTGGGATCAGTAAAAGAATACTAGGTGGAGTTCGAATGGCTAGCCATGAGAGTCCAAGGGTGGACGGAGAAGGCATTGGTGGGAAGCTTTGTCAGCGGCCTAAAAGAAGAACTGCAACTGGAAGTGAAAGCGATGCATCCCACTTCGGTCATCAATGCGGCAGCACTAGCAAGATTGTATGAGGACAAGTTCAGTCAAGCAAGAAAGGTGCAGCGACCATGGGGTCCAGAAGCAAGAAGGGAGCAAGAAAAGACAACAGCACCAGACAAGGAGGAAGGAGTACTGGGCCCAGGCCCACTGGTTCCTTTCAAACGGCTGACTTGGGCAGAGATGCAAACCCGCAGAGATAAAGGTCTCTGTTACAATTGCGAAGAGAAATTTGGGTCGGGCCATCGCTGCAAGAAACAACAAGCGTTTCTCCTCCAAACAGATGCCGAAGAGGAAGACGACATCCCCGGATGCGGAGAATCTAACCCAAGATGGGAAATACAGTCCAATGGCATGCCTGAAATATCCTTACAAGCCCTTACGGGACTTGCGTCCCCTCAAACAATGAGAGTTGCAGGGCTGATTCTAGGACGGCAAGTGTCAATCCTCATAGACAGTGGCAGCTCCCTTAACTTCAAAATTCAAGTCTTGGTGGATAAAATGGGACTTCCGGTGCAACCAACAACGACCTTTACGGTTCATGTGGTCAACGGTAACAGCCTCTCTTGCAATAGCATTTGCAGGGGCCTACCACTAAAGATTCAGGGTCATCAGTTTGCGGTGGACCTATATCCTCTCCATCTCAGTAGAGCAGACGTGGTGCTAGGCATTCAATGGTTAAGGCAGCTAGGACCCGTGGTCTGTGACTGGGCCCGTCTCACCATGGACTTCACATCAGGAAACTCTACAGTCCATCTACAAGGGCAGACATGCAAGGGCCCAAGGCCCATCAGTCTTGCAACACTAACAAAG